TCATCTTGCCCAGCAGCTAGTAATGAGATGAGGGAGCTGTATGACCCTCACCACTGCTACAGTATGAGCAACTTCTACAATGAGAGGATTCAGTGTCATCTCGATACACCCCTACCCCTCTATCGTATCATCTGACACTACCATAGCTGTTCATTTGACCCGACTCACAAAGAAGAACGTCAAGTTTGAGTGGAACGATGACTTTTAAATGAGTTTTTCAGAACTAAAGGAGCAGTTGACTACTGCACCTGTGTTGGTTTTACCGAGTGGGATAAGTGAATACACAGTTTATAGTGATACCTCCTATCTAGAGTTGAGTTGTGTTTTGATATAACATGGGAAAGTCATAGCCTATGTCCAAACAGTTGAAGAGTCATGAGAAAAACTACTCCCACCAATGACTTAAAATTTACCGCGATTATTCATGCATTAAAGACTTGGCGCCATTACTTGTATGAGGAGACTTTTCAGATTTATACCGACCATAAGAGCTTGAAACACATATTTACTCAAAAGGATTTTAACATGCATAAGAGACGATGGATAAAAATCCTCAAGAACTACGATTGAAACATTTTGTATCACTCGGGTAAGGATAATATGGTAGCCGACGCACTTAATAGAAAAAATACAAGTATGTTAGCTCACCTAATGGTTTCAGAATGCAGGGTAATAGAGGCCACACAACATATACGACTTCAAAACCTGAAGAGAGTTACATGTTTGGCCCACCTAACTGTTCAACCATAATTGATTCAGAGAATAAAAAAAGTCTAATTCGTCGATTTCACCCTAACAGCTCTCAGGAAAGATGCAGAATAGGGAGTAAATTCAGAATTTCGAGTCTTTGCCAATGGGTTGCTCAGATTTCAAGACAGGGTATGTGTTCCATGTAACAGTGAGCTAAAAATGGACATCATGACAAAAGCTCATAGCTCAAAATTTGTCATACATCCTGGAACCACTAAAATGTATCAAAGTATGCAACTCTGATTTTACTATAATGGAATAAAAGAGAGGTAGCCGACTTTATTTCCAAGTGTCTACTGTATCAGCAGGTCAAGGTAGAACATCAATGCCCAGGTGGCCTACTTCAGCCATTACCGATTCTGAAATGAAAGTGGGAACGCATCATAATGGATTTCATGACAGGACTACTTAAGGCACGCTCGGGACATGATGTCATTTGGGTAATTGTTGACCGACTCACCAAGTCTTCTTACTTCTTGGCCATCAAGATGACCAACTCCTTGAATAAGCTAGCAAGAATATATATCCGGGAGATAGTCAGATTACATGGAGTGCTAGTGACAATAGTATTCGACAAAGATCCCATGTTCACTTCGCAGTTATGGTCTAGTTTTTGGCAAATCATGAGAAATAAATTGTCTCTTAGTACTGCATTCCACTCTCAGACTGATGGACAATCAGAAAAGACGATCCGCGCACTGGAGAATATGCTTCGAGCTTGTGTTCTTAACTTCAGGAGCCATTGAGATGATCATTTACCCTTACTAGAGTTTGCCTACAACAACTCTAAGCAAGTATCGACATGGCTCCATACGAGGCATTATATAGCCGCCCATGCAGATTGCCAATATGTTAGGAAGAGGTGGATGATAGGAAATCGTATGACCCAGATCTTGTGGAGGAGATTACAACCAAAATAATTAAAATCAAGAAGAACATCCAGATGGCTCAAAGCATGCATGAGAGTTATGCGGACATCCAGATGAGGAATTTGGAATTTGAGAAAGGTGATCGAGTATTTCTCAAGGTCACCCCTTTCAAGAGAATCAGTAGGTTTGGCAAGAGGAGGAAACTAAATTCTTAGTTTATTAGACCATTTGAGATCTTAAATAGAATTGGTATCGCCGCCTGCAGATTGACATTACCTATAGAACTATTCAGAGTCTATAATGTGTTTTATGTGTCCATGTTATATAAGTACAACTTGGACCTCTTTCACATCTTGGCCCACGAGTCCCTTTCACTATACGAGGATCCGTCCTATAAGGAAGTACCAGTGGGTATTATAGACTGAAAGAACAAAGTACTCTGCAATAGGAAAATATCATTTGTTAAGGTTCTATAGCAGAATCACACACAAAGAAAGACCGCATGGGAGCTAAAATCAGACTTTAAGTCTAGTATCCCCAAGTATTTGATTAAGTGAGATGGAGACAAATTTGAGGAACCAAATTTCTTTTAAAGACCCAGAATTTGGCCTGAAATTAATTTTAATATTTTAAATATATACAAAATTTATTTTTAAATTGATTTATCTTAATTTTTGTTAAATTTGTAAAAAAAATAAGTTAGGGATGAAATTGAAAAAAAAAATTGAGAAAAAGAAGTGAAAATTTAGGTTCGGAGAGTATTTTTGAAAGAAAAATCAAAAACTGGGAGGTCAGAGTGCAAATAAGGAAAATTTTACCACGTAGGACCACTCAGTCAGCAACCCCGACGTACCGAAACACACCGCGGTAAGGCATGTTGACGTCAGTGCCACACGGGATGTCACGTGGGCAATCTGCGTGCCTCGTGATCGAACGACCCAATATCGATCCCGCGCGTGTGGTAGACCCAGATTTGTTCTTCCTTTAAATGTGATCGGACGATCAAGATCAAATCGCGATGAAAAGTTCAGATTAATTTCTTCCTTAAACGGGATCAGACAATCGAGATCAAACAAGATGAACAACCATATTCATTTTCTCCTTAGGCGCGATCGAACGGTCGAGATCAAATGCGATGAGCAGCCAGATTAACGCGAAATGAGTATAAATATTTTGCATCACATTAAACTCGAACTCTAGCCATTAGCTGCCCACTGGAGAAGAGGAACCAGTCGCCGGAGAAGGGAGCCGACCACCAACTGTCGCTACATCGGAGCAACATTCGATCGCCAAAAAAAGGTAGAAATTCTCCTACCCGCTCGAAATTCAATTCTGAGCACTCCTGTGGCCATATTGGAGCAAAAAGAATGACGGATGAACTGGAAACTACGAGTAAAGCCTGGCGGCGACGCCGCGGACAAAACCCTCAACCTTCTCCGATGAGCTCCTGTTTTTCGTTTCGTACGATTTTTTCACCATTGAGTTCATCATTCTGTTTTCTACAAGTTGACCGAAGAAAAAAATTTCAGCCGCAAAAGTGAATCGGCAAAGCCAGCTCACCCAAAAAATCCACCACCGGTAGGTTTCCGTTTTCTAATTTTTTAGGCCAACCGAGACCCACTAATGTATTTTTTTCGCAGGAATATATATAAAATCGGCCAAAAACGGCCAAGCTGAGGCAAACCGCCACCATGAGCGGTAGTACTGTTGCCGAAGTACGATGGTGCTGCCGTACTGGAACCCCAAAATTTGCTAAAAAAGATTTTTAATACCGATTTTAGGTTTTTAGAGTATTTTTAGGTACGTAAAGCGTGTTTTAATCTCCCCAGAAAAATTTAAGAAACCCGGGGACCGCTATTAGATGCAGTAGAAAGTTCAATATTTCGAACACCGATTCGGGTAAGAATCTCTCACTTTATTCTTTGTTATTGAATTGAAGCTTAATAATCAATAATATGATATTTTGTGAAATTTAAAAAAATTTCAAAAATAATTACAGGTCACTAATGGAGTCGCAACTTGTTAGTTATTTATTTGTCTTGTTTAAATTTTATAGCTTTAAATACATGATAATATATTGAAATGATTAAATGATTCAGTTGTGCTTCATTGATACATATATCGTTTGTCTCGCGTGATTTATGGTTGATTTGTGAAATTTAAAATTAATATGCAAATAGAAAATTGTTTGATTATGTGAATTAATAAATGGTTGCCTTATTGGATATCCTGAGAGATGGTGGATGGACCGGGTACATAAAAAATTCTATTGTGAACATTATCTCATACCGGACGGGGTATGAAAAAATGGTACTTTTAGCGCTTATACCGGATGGGGTATGGGGACGGTCCGAGTCACTCTTATACTAGACGGGGTATCGAGGGATGGTACTTTTGGTGCTCATACTAAATGGGGTATGGGGACGGCCCGATTCACCATCACACCGGATGGGGTATCGAAAGATGATATTTTTAACGCTTATACCGGATGGGGTATGGGAACGGCCGGTTAGTTGATAAATTTAGATATTAGCTTCATGCGTAGTGGGACATCCCTATGGACCCCCAGAAAAACTAGTGAGCAAATAAAAAGGAAAAGTTATTTTTCTTTCTCACTTGAATATAAGATCATAATATTATTTGAGTTATTGTCTCTATAGGTCGATTTTAAAAATCTCATAACGGTAAGTATGTAATAAATAATTTTTCTTATGATAAATAAATTTACTTAAATTAAGAGCTCTATTGGTTGTTTTTATAATTTTTACCAACTTTTAGTTCCTGTATCGGTGGGTAGTATGATATTCTTATTTGGCTAGTGTAACTCACTCCTTCTCCTATTAACCATTTCAGACCAAAAAGATTATGATTCAGATCTTGATCAGTAAAAGAGTTGTGAGTACGTGTTTTTCCGGATCCTATTAAGAGATAGTGGAGGCTAACTTCCCTACAACATTTATTACTATTTTCATGTGTTATTACGTTTTTTTATAAACTGCAATGAAAGAGATATTTTTATACCCCTATTGGACATGCTAATTTATGTGTAAAAAATATAAAATCTAACGTTTTTTATACGCTTTCGTATTTAATTTGTGACATTGTTTCCATTTAAATTCTGAGTCTTTACATAGAAACTTAACTTATTTACTCATAAGAGATATATTAATATTTTTAAAAATAGATTAAATCGTTTTTCATCATTGATTTAAATATTTTAGATAATTAATTTTTTTATCGGTTAATATTATTATTTAAGATAACATGGAGAAATTTTCAATTAATAATTTGTAGCTTAAATCATAGGTTTAGTTATGGAAATTAAAGAGAATGTCTAATCTTCATATTTTGTCTATATATATATATATATAGTTCATATATAATATTATTGAGTGAAAAAAAAAAAGAAACACTAATAGTAAGTCAACATAAAATAATTACTATAAATTAAATAAATATATATATATGCTTATATAAATCTAATATGTTTGAATCAGTAATTATAAAATTCTTAATTAATTATATAACATTTACAACGAATCAACTACAGGATATGTATTAAATTAAATAATATTACTATCTTAGTAAATTAAAAAAAAAAAAAGAAGAAGAATTAGGGCTATACTGATTCTTACGTACGTATATAGAATTAAACCAATCAGTATGAATCGAACAATTGCTTGCATCATCTCATGTTTTTAGAATCTTTGATATTCGAACTTTATAAAAAAATATATGTATATATATATTATTATATATAGGCATCTAATTATGGCCTGATCTTACATAAGCAAAGCATGGAATATAGTTAATAATTAACATTTTCTCTTATTATAAGATAATAAGTTAGCTATTCAAACTACTATAAGGTCAAAAATAAATTATCAAATTAATTAATTAATATTAATTAACCATAGGATATTTAATATTTTTTAATTATAAGTAAAAATTGATTGAGTTAATTTTTTTTAGAGAATTAATTATATTATTATTAATGTATAAGTATCAATAAATATATTAAAATTTTAATAAAAAGAAATTAAATAATCAAAAGATCATTATCTACTAATAAGGTAATTAAATTAATTAATTAATTATAATTTGACACTTGTCTTGAAACCCATGAAGCCTATAAATCCTAATGTTAGGTTAATTGGTCCCTTCGTGTCGTTTTATATATATTTTAATGTCGTTTTATGTTAGCTGTCATTAAGTTCAGAACCCAGACAATCTTTAACTCGTGAAAATAATGATAGGAAAGAAGACAAGCTCTTGTGTGACATAATATGATGGGAGAAGTAGGCAACACTCAAACATTAGGGTTGGATTGTATGTACACGTGTATGTATATAGTCCATTAATTAAACTTTATATAATTTATTAAGAGTTAATTAATTAACTAAATTCAAACTTATTGGGAGCATTAGATAGATCTAATAAGAGCTTAGGGGACCATTAATGTCTATAAATGTTGATTAATTAATTAATTAATCTCTCCAAAGCTCCATATGAATCCATTATGTTTACATAGGAAAAAGGAAAAGTAAACAGTACAATATATATATATATCCATATATATGTTTATATTTTACATAGTGCATGTCTATATCTAAATATATATATATATATATGTATATAAATGGAATGGTATATAGCAGAACTGCTTCTTTAGGTCTACCTAAGAGGATAATTTTCTCAAGAATTTTTTCTCTAAATGGGTGATAGAGATAGTGCATATAAGTACATTCTTGACAGAGAAGGAGATCATCATCATCATCATCAAGATCACCATTATCAAGATCATGAAGTGATCAAGGAGCAAGATCGGTTACTCCCCATAGCAAACGTAGGGAGGATCATGAAACAGATTCTTCCCCCCAAGGCGAAAATCTCCAAAGAAGCGAAAGAAACCATGCAAGAATGTGTGTCGGAGTTTATAAGCTTCGTCACCGGCGAGGCCTCCGTCAGGTGCAACAGAGAGAAACGGAAGACGGTGAACGGAGACGACGTGTGTTGGGCGCTGGCGAGCTTAGGGTTTGACAACTATGCTGAGCAGCTGAGGAGGTATTTACAGAGATACAGAGAGACGGAAGGAGAGAGATCAAGTAGCAGCCATAACCAGACGGTTGGTGCTTCCGACTCTGTAAACGATAGAAGGAAAATGATTAACCTGTTTGGTATTGATGGCGAAGATTAGAAGATACGTGAGATCTGCATTCAGAAATTATTGTGGTAGTAAAAATATTCAATTAATTTCCAACTAGCTTTGACGAGTATTACTTTTTCTAATATGTATATATATATATATATATATGTATATATATGTGAGCGTGAATGGATGTTGGGGTTGAAGATGTACTGCTCTCACATTCTAATTATATATATCATTATAAATATAATAATTATCACCCGAATTTTACTTTCGATTAAAAATAATATTTCATATCTTACTAAAAATAAAATAATTATTATCTAAGAATGATCAAGTGATAGTTAAGTAACGTAGAATAATGTATTTTAAAAATAATAATAATAATAAATTTAAATTAATTTTTATTTTTCAGATTAATTAAACTTAAACCTTAATGTTAAAACTTTATATTATACAATTTGTATATTACGTTCGGCCATCGTCTTATCAATTTGTAGCCATTTTAACAGACACAGGTAGATGGAAAGTAGCGACCTTGACTTGACTACTTGAATTAGGAAACCTACTGTATGTAATAGCTACTAGGTATATATATACTATAAATAATATATAATATCTTATAATATTAATTACAAATATATACAGTGTATATATTTGTAATTAATATTAATATGCTATTTTTATTTTTTATTTAATAAAAAAAAAGAAAAAGAAAAAGCCATGCATGCAACATTTTTGGTATTCCTTTCTTCTCTTTCAGTGGGCCGAACGCAAAGCCCAGCCCATTTTCCTTTTCCCCTCGGCCCAGCCTGGAGCCGTTTTAAGCCCAGCTCTCAGAAACGGTGCCGTTTTCCTTGTAATAGGAATGTAAATTGGAAACCTAAATGAAGCGATCATGTGTTCTTTCTTAATAATATGAATTGCTTCTGTCTCTCAACATGCAGACAACTATACACACACACACATATATATATATATATATATATGTATATGTATATGTATATATCATTTCATATTTTTTATTAGGATGGGTAATACAACAACATAATAATAATTAAGTAGTCTAACTTATACAATACACACTACTTAATTATTATTTAATATATGTATATCTCAAATATATATATATATATATATATAATGTTGATAATTTATGTTTTAAAGTTCAAGAGTCATTCCAACTTTGAGCAGCTGCTTATGAGGAATATCAAATACCTTATCACTCATTCTCAAGTTCTTCTTCAAGAAATTGAAGGCATAATCAATCATTATCTTCTTCATAATCCCACTTCCTCTCGCTGCCACAACCTCATTCTCCCCCATCAAATGCACCACCCCAGCCCTCACTCCTGCATCAATCAACTCTATCTCCTTCTCCACCATCTGATTATCACCATTCTGATCATCATCGTGATCATGATCATCACCTACCATGTCTCCACTACTTCTCTTGGCAGCTGAAACTCGGGCTAACCAGAACTCTCTTTCTATAAACTCCTTCAACTTCTCGATCAACATCTTCTCAAATGGTTCTTGATCATTATGCACGTCGGTATATCCATACCTTGCTACACAACGGAACATATTGAGCTCCTTAGGCGCCACTCGACGAAACAAGAACCTTTCTTCCACAGGAATTTTTCCAATGGGGAGGGACTTGATGGAGACGAAGATAAGAACTGAGTGTAGAGCCGGGACATTAGCAACATAGTGCTTGAAGATGGGCGGTATGCCTTGAACAAGCTCTGAATAAAACATGGCAAGCCCTGGGATTCGACACACGTTAGCGTTGTCGCTAGATATGATCTCTTTAACGTGCTCCGGAGAGATCTTGTGATCGAGCTCGTAATAGTATTTTCGTCTATAAACATCGTTCCAGACGTACATAATGGTCATTAGAACAACGGCGAATGCTAATGGGAGATAGCCTCCTTGGTCAAATTTGTAAAGTACAGAGCTCAAATAGACCAACTCGACTGAGCCGATAATAAGAACATAGATGATAACGAAGAGTATATTCGTTTTCCATATCATCAGCATTATGAGCACCAGAAATGATGATGTTAAGGTCATCACAAACACCACCGCGATTCCTGCATATTATAATAAAAAGATTCAAACTTTAACTGCGACAACAAATTTAAAATCAAAACCCAGAACTGAAAATTTAGTTTAATGGAGGTAGGGTGAGGGATTACCGTAAGCATGACCGATTTTATCAGTACTTTTAAAACCCGCAGTGACACCAACACAGGCAAGCATGAGTATGTAATTGATTTCGGGGATGTAGACTTGGCCTTCATATTTCTCAGAGGTATGGACGCTCTGACACGAGAAAGCA